AGATTTTAGAATTCAGGAGAAGATGATGGAGAAGACAGAGGCTAGTTCAGCTCCACCGCAGTAAAAGCACCAGCAAACCAATAAATACCTTGAAAGCTGTGATTTAAAAACAAAGAAATCAAGTGGAGACAAAAACCCAAACACCACAACAAGAATACAGTGCACAGTACCTTAAACAGGGAAGCAGCCATTTGGAAGTTATTTGTTATGAAAACCAGGGTTGGTGAAGTGCACACCACCAGCAGGTAGTTGACAGGAAATGTGCAAAGGTGCTATATTCCTCCTTGTTCCCCTCAGAAGACCAGGTGAGTGGCTTCCTTCCACTCACTGCCAACAACGGGAAGTTGGTGGAGTTTCTCAGCTTTTCTTGAATCTGCTCAATGCCACACCTGCACCAGATTGTATCTGGTCTCAGGTGTTAAGAGGACTTTAAAAATCAGCCTTCCTCTACAACAGGTGGATTGTGTGTCTACCCACAAAAGCTAGGAGGTGTCTAGGAGGTGATAACCAAAAAGCAGACAAAAAAAGATAAAATTGAACTAAAAAGGAACTAAAATACAGAGTAAGAAAATGCTACAGAGGAAGAAAAGTTTTGGGAACGGCTTAACAAGGAAATAAAAAAAAAATTCTATCAGTTCCAATCTATAGATGGAGAGACACCAAGAAAACCGACAAGAATTTATACAAACAAAAAATCAAAACGATGCAAGATCAAATACAAAATAATAAATGTAATAGTAGAAATAATATACAAACAGCAACAATATATTCAGAATATATAATACTGCAGAAATACTAATGAGTAGAATGGAAGAAGTGAAACACAGAATCAGCAAAATGGAGGAAAAATTTATCCAAAGAAACCTGTCAGAGAAACCATGTGAAAAAAAGAAGGTAAATGAAGAACTACGTGGACCAGCATAAAGAGGAATTGGAATATTAGATCAAGAAGAGGCCAAAATGGCACAGAGGAAAGAAACTGTTCCAAGATATGCTGCTTGAAAATTTCCCAAACGTTATGAAAAATGAGAAAAAAATGTATTCAAGAAACTTAAACCCAAAGAAGGAGAACCTCAAAAGAAAAACACCAAGACACATCATTATCAAATTTCCAAAATTAAGGACAAAAAACCCCTGAAAGCAGATCAGGAAAAAACTATTTGTTTTCAATTAGTCACCTACAATGAATCATTAATAAGATTAAATTCTTATTTCTCAGTAAAACTATGCAGGCAAGAAGGCAATGGGATAATATACATAAAACTGAGAGAGAAAAAACCCTGCCAACCAAGAATCCTGGACCCAGCAAAACTGTCCATCAAATACAGCAGTGAAATGAAGACATTTCCAGATAAACAGAAATGAAGGGAAAACTAGACCCAATTACTCTAAAACATTCTTAAAGGAGTTCTTTACACCAGACAAAACAGAATCAGTGCAAAAGACAACACTCCTCATAAGCTGACAGAGACCCAGAAAGAAAAAAAGTACACTAAATATTTGACACTAAAAGTCAGTGGTGGTGGTGGTGGTAGTGGTAGTGTTAGGTGCCATCGAGTTGAGTATGGCTCATAGTGACCCTATGAAATAAGATCTGAACCCAGTCCTGTCCTGCGCCATTCTCACACTTCCTGACACACAAGAGCCCATTGCAGCAGTTACCATGTCAACCCACCTGCTTGAGGGTCTTCCTCTCCTTACCAACCCTCGACCCTTCCCAGTATCATGTCCCTCTCTCAGGAATAACACCTTTTAGCAGTGTCCAAAGTATGTGAGGCAAAGCTTCATCATTCTTGCCTCTAAAGAGCAACCCAGCAGCACCATCTCCAAGACATATCTGTTTCTTCTCTTGGCTGTCCACAGGATGTTCAGTGTTCTTCTCCAAAACCACAGTTCGAAGGCTTCAAGTATTTTTGTCATCCTTATTCATTGTCCAGGTCTTGCCTGCATAGCCAGTAACTGGAAAGACTATGGCCTGAATCAGATGCACCTTAGTCCTCACACTGACATCATTACTCCTCAATAATTTGGGGAGGTCCCTAACTGCAGATTTTCCCAGTGCAATGTGTCTCCTTTTTTTCCTGACTGCTGGTACCAAGGGTGTTAATTGTGGATCCAGGCAAGAAGAAGCTGTTGACAATTTCAATCTTTTCTCCATCCATCATGACATTGCCTATTGGTCCAGTGACAAAGCAAAGTATTATAACCGAATGTGCAGAGAGCTGGAATTGGAGAATAAAAAGGGAAGAACTCACTCTGCATTTCTCACCCAAGTGAACACAACCCCCACCTCTGACATGCATGTTCCAGACACCCATATCCAACAAATGAGATAAACATCATTGCATGGTCCAAGCATGTGGTGATTTTTATTAAGAATAACTTTGGTACTAAGAATTCCAACCTCAATTCTGTAATACTTTCCGTTAAAAACAATTATACAAGAGCAAATACAAAAAATATTAAATTATGAAAAAAAATTCATTAAGGCTCCCTTTATATATATTATATACACTCAAACAAGTCAAGGTTTCTTTCAGAGTAGAAGAATAAAGTCAAATGTTATAGCTTAGAAAGCAACACTACTTTACTACTATGAGACTATAAAACACTGCACTATTCTTAAAAAACCTAGAGTGGAAAATGGAGCCAGTTTTGTCAAATAGTGGCTCAAAGCACAAACTGCTCGGATATGCAAGAGTCTTAGGGGTTTGGACTTAGAATCTTAGGGTCTGGACTGTACAGCACTGAGGTGGGAGGGGCGACTAACCATGTTTCTAAACTTGGGCATGTGAGCAAGCTGATTTGATAACTTCAAAGAGCTTTTCTACTTGTTCATTCCATTGTTTCCGTTATAAAACATCACTTAACGTTATTTACAAGACTTCTTTTGGCCAGACTTTATACTACTAGCTACAAATAATTCTGCAGATGTGTAAGACTGGAAAGAAAATGCTTTCCCCAGCACAAACTACATCCTAGGTAAATTCTTGGAACAGAACTGGTCCTTCTAAATTACCCTGTCAAAGCCCTTGAAAATCTTATTAAGTGGCAGAATTGTTGCAAGGGTACATATTTAAGATCTAAAAATCCATTTTAAACAAGAAGATTTGAGACAGTCCTGAATCTTCATTTTGAAAGTTTTACCATTAGTCCCTACCCACAAAAAAAGAACCCTAGTCAGTGAGTAATCAGAAACCTTTTCAAGATGATCAATCATTGCACTTTATGCTCTAAAAAGGAAACAGGATGGAAAAAACAGTAACTATTTAATCCTTCAGAAGCAAAGGGTTATAGAGCAATGTTTCATTTTAAGCATCTCATACAGAGTTCATTCGAATAATACTTGGCTGATGAGATAAATAATCCATTTCAGGTGTAATCAACTAACATGTTTCTCTAACTAGCAGTATATTATCATTGCTTTTACATTTATCTTGCTCATATTAAAACTGAGTATGAGCCTAATCATCAACTATTAAATCTAAACTAAAGCATTTCCACAGAAATGCTTATTAAGGATTCAAAGGCTTGGGATCCAGCTATCTAGAAGCCTTTAAAGGAAATACAAGAAGAAATCCTGAATGTGGAAATTTACTGGTTGTTATCAACTGTATGGAGAATACACTGCACTCACAAAATGCTCCCATATCATCTTAGGTAGTAGTATGCACTCCTGTCCACAACCATCATACCAACAAATTCTGCATGTGAATTTCACTGATACTCAGAACTTGGGCTTGATTTTGAACATTATGCTAGCTAGAATGAGGAAGCTGAGTACTACTCCCTTCCTCTCAGTTTTTCCTGAGAGATGCAATGTAGTAGTCATCACTATCAATGCCATCGTCACCATCACTCAGTGGTGAAATAGTCTTCTTCGTAAGGACAAAAGAAAAGGCAAAGAAGCAAGTCAAGCGTGAATTCTAATGATACTCAAAATGTACAAAACCAAAATATTCCAACTGCATTTTCTTGAGACCAATGTACTTCTATTTCACATGTACTTCTATTTCACATTAAGAAATCCAAATAACTCCTCATGATCCATTTCCCAGAGGGACTTCCCCCCGCCCCATACTGCTCTTAGGATAAACCAGGAAACTTTGGTCCCTCTACTTTTGACACTAAAGTGGGTTATAAGGACTAGTTTAGACTCCAAAGGCTGAGGAGAATATTTCATCTCACAGGACTAGTCCAGCAAAAATTTTAAAAGAAACAAAAACAAATGCTGCAAGTTATCAATAAGTGAATAGAGTACATGATGGACTTTCTCTGAATTCAAATGTCTTCCTGTAGCATACAAGGATCTGAGACAAATTAAAGCAGACCAAGATAGATGTTCACTTTTTGTTTGTTTGTTTGTTTCTTTAGTTTTAAACCTTCTCATTCTATTGCTGAGTTTAAATGCCAACAAAGATTAACAGCTGTGCTCAACATTAACATTAATATTTTCTGCTGTAAAGTCTACCGTGGGTAATGTATAAATTAAACAAAGAAAATTTCAGGTTCTCAAAACAGAATTTACAGATACTGAATGTAACAGAATAAATGCATTTCTATGCCGTCTAAACCATCGAACAGATAACGCAAAGAAGAAATTAAACACAACTTCTCTAATTTTTAAAAGAAAAAAGGCTCTATGCCCCACTAAACTTGAGTGCAACTCTCAAAAATATTTTCCAGTGTCCTCTTCCTTTTTTATTTTTTTTTAATTTTTTTTTTATTTGTTTCAGTCCCTGAACACAAGTCCATTACCCCAACGATATGTGTTGGTCAATGTCCTTCATTTGGCGAATTGGAACTGTAACTGTTGTGGGCAATGTATCCACCCAGACTGTAAGGGGAGGAAAATCAAAACCAAATCCTTTTGAAAGGGAAACTTTTCTGCTGGCTGGAACTCTCTCCAGGGACTCCTGTCCTGAGACTAAGTGTTGAGGAGGTGTTCTCAGGCACGGCTTCTGTGCGGTGGTGGGCTGGGACAGGCTGTGAGGAGCAGGGACACCGGTGGGCTCTGCACAGCCTCTGTCTAGGACTTCTGGACTTGGGCAACTTCTTGGCCTATTCTCCTGAGATTGCCTTTCACCTTAACAAACTCGGGAGCATTTTCTTGCTCTTCTTGTAACTTCTGCTTCTCAAGTTCAAGCTAAATAGAGTTCATTAAAAAAAAAAAAAAAAGAAAGAAAAAATTATTTGCAGAAATGAACACATTTTTCAAAATACTCTTTCTAAAATATTTAACCACCTCATTTCAATGGCATAAATTCTCTGGACTTCTCTTTATTTAAAAAAACCAAAAAATAGTGCATATGTGTGTGTGTGTGTGTGTGTGTGTGTGTGTGTGTATCCTCTAGTAATTGTGCAATTGCTGGGCGTGTCTTTAAAACTCCATAGGGCCCGAGGGCCACAGGCCCTCAGGCCAAATTTATTAATATAAGAATGAACACTCTTTAAGTGGTACAGCGGTGGTTTGTCTATTTGCTGTACTGAATAACTTGGAGTTGCCAATTAATGTGTCATAGCTGTCTCAAATGCCATGACTGTTACCCATCATGGACAGTGTTTGGAGAAGCTTCCAGTTTGATTCAGGTGTGGAAGCAAAAGTGGCATCCCCTCCCTGAACCAGATGTCTCTGGAAACTCTACAAACATCAAGAAATTATGTTAATTATGAAACAGAGTTCAGGTCTTTTGTTCATAGGGTCGCTATAAGTCGTATTTGACTTGACGATACTTAAACTAAATGAGACTAGTATTGTTATATTTTGGAAGAACATTCTTCTACTTTGTACATCACTGCTTGTCAATTTGCTATACTGAGGTAATCTGGGTTTGCTGTGATGCTGAACTTTGTGTCATTGGGGTATCAAATACCATAATGGTTTACCAATATGGATGGTGTTTTGTGGAGCTCCTAGATGTAGTACAGGTTTGGAAGCAGGAGTGGCATCCACTTCCTAAACCACATGCCTTTGGAAACTCTATAAACTTGGTACTTATAGAAAGGCATTAGATCTTTTGCTCACAGAGTTGCTATGACTCGACAGCAATCAACAACAACAGTAATTGTGTGTAATAGGAACAAACAAATTGGTTGTTACCATAAACACCACCAAAGAATGGCCCACTAACTGCTGAGTCAATTCCAACTCACAGTGACCCTACAGGACAGAGCAGAACTGTCCCACACAGTTTCTAAGGCTGTAATCTTTACAGAAGCAGACTGCTTCCTCCTTCTCCTGTGGGGCAGCTGGTGAATTAAAACTGTGGACTTTCTGGTTAGCAGCTGAGTGCTTTAATCACCACACCACCACAGCTCCTTGAGAAACGCCTAGAATCCAAAACTCGAGCATGAAAACACCAACTACTGGGATCAAACACATGTTGCTCTGAACTTTCTGTGAAGTTATATTTCACGGCAATGCCTGTTGGCAATGCCAACACTGCTATGAATTCAGTGGTATGTCTCTATTTTTGCTTGGCCTCCTGAGTCACTTTTAGGTCCTCAATAGAATTCTTGTATCAGCCTTGCATGTATTTTACTCCATTTGCTGACATACCATCTCATATCTTTCTTTTATGGTATAGACATTTACATCTGACATGTCTGGTAAATTCTGCCTGCTCCAACACTCTCCTTTCTAAGTTGTCACCCCAAACACCCTTACCTGCTCCAGCTTCTGTTGTCGCTTTAATAGTTCTATTTCCAAGTCAGATTTCTTCTTTTGTGCTTCTTCTTCCTTCTGCTTTATCACTTGGTCTCGTTTCCTCTTTTCCATCACCTTCTGCAGTTCAGGTTTATTCTGAGGGGCAAGACCCCTGGAAAAAATGCATTAACAAAAATAATTTTAAAATATAATCCAGTGGACACAACTTTCATCATTTGAAAGCCTACGATTGGGCAGGGGAGGGCCCACTGTTGTCAAATTGATTTGAACTTCCAGTGACCCTCCGTCAGGTCGCTGCGGTGGTATTCTGTAAGGGGAGACTGCTCATCTCCTGCAGGGCAGCTGATGGACTCAAAGTGCCAACCTTTCTGTTAGAAGCTGATACATCACACACCATGCCACTACTGCTCCTTAGCTACAAAAGGGGAGTCTAATATTATTGTGATATTTACTACAAAGCTCACCAGTTTAACAGATAATAATGGTGGTCTCAGAAATTCATCAACATAAAGGAAAGGGAAATGACATCTTCCAAAAGACTAAGCAAAATCTGTTCATTCACTACTAATGAACTGAGCACCTACTCTACGTAGATACTGAGCTATACAATGGACACTACTGAGGGCTCAGGTGGGGAAGGCCTGGAATGAGATGCCCAAACCATCAGCCTGATGAATACTGGATGGAGAAGAGAGAGAGATGGCACCACTGCGGGTTTTAGAGAAAGCTTCACAAGGTCTAGACCCCGATCCTTCGTACTAAATATAGCCTAGAAACTCAAGAGCATTTCAGAAATCTAGCCGGAAATACTACCCCTGGAGACCTCTTCATTGTTCAGATCTGGAAGGGGGTTCTTGTACATCTGAAGGAAAGCCTGATGCTATGCACACCGCTCCTGAGCGGTAGCAGTCCTGAAATTCCTACACTCAGGGCAGCACTCCTTCCCCCTAGCCTGTATTAACTGCACAGTTTACTATTTACAAGCATGGAAGTCAAGGTCCTGGTTTAGCCTGCCTACCACCTGCTCACGGTCTTAATTACTTCCACTGATTTCGTCTAGCTCTTAAGTATTTACTACCTGATATTATTGTCAATTTCAAATAAAATCATGCTCAAGATTATTCAAACACAGCTGAAGAGTACATCACAGGAAATGTCCAGAAATTCAGGCTGGATTCAGAAGAGGTCATGAAGTGAGAGATATAATTGCTAACACCAGGTGGACCTTGACTGAAAGTAGAGAATACCAGAAAGACATTACTTAGGGTTGTTTGTCTGTCTATACAAAGGCATTTGACTATGGATCTTAACATATTATGGCTAACACTGAAAAGAATGGGAACCCCAGAACACTTAATTGTGCTATATGAAACCTATAGCTAGACCAAGAAGGTGTTGTCTGAATAGAACAAGAGAATACTGCATAGTTTAAAACCAGAAAATGTGCAAAACAAAAATATTACTGGGTTGATAGGCAACATCATGGCAGATGGGGAGCATGATGAAATTGTCAACAATTTTATTTTACTTGGATTCACAATCAACACTCATGGTAGCAAGCTGCAGTCAAGAAAACAAAAGACATGTTGCACAAGGATAATTTGCTGTCAAGCACATCTCCAAAGGGTAAAAGTGCAACGATATCAGTTTAAAGACTAAAGGGTGCCTCACCCAAGCCACAGACTTTTCCATTGCTTCCCATGTGTTTAAAAGTTGGACAATGAATAAGGCTGACAGAAGAATCGATACCTTTGCATTGTGGTGTTGGTGAGGAGTAGTGATTATCTTATGAAATGCCAGAAGAATAAATAAGTCTGTCATGGAGGTAGAACAACCGGGGTGCACCGTCGAGGCAAGGATGGTGAAACCTACGTTGTCAGTCCTTGCAAAGGTACCACGCTGGGAAAGGTGAAGAGTCAGGGAAAGAGAGGAAGATCTTCAACAAAATGGACTGACACAGTGACTGTAACAATGAGTTACAAGCACATCAGAGATTTGTGAGGGTGGCACAGGTTAGAGGAAGGTACAGATCTGCTCTTCACAGATTTGCTGAGTTGTAGTAACTCGATGGCACTTAATGACAACAACTTGATATTAAAATGTACTAAGCGCATAAATAAAACAGAAACAAAACCACAGAACCAGAAAAAGACTAGAAATGTCACGCCACACTGACGCCACATATCCTCTGGAAGCACATATGCTCACCTGAGCATCCACGCATTTCTGGGCTGTGGGAAGGGAGCGCTACTGAGTCACCTATGACTCAAGGGACTGTGCGCCCCTCCACTCACTGCTACCCTTGATGATGACTGACAGTCCTTGTACCAGGGAGGTCAATTTATGTGGTGGTTCTCTAAACTATTTGGATCAATTAATGTGACTAATCAAACTAATGTGACTCATCAATTGGGAGGGAGTTGAGGTGGCTTTGTGGTAAGAAAGCTGCACTGCCAACCCAAAGGAAAATGGTTTGAAGCCACCAGCTGCTACTCAGAGGGAAGATGGGTAATGTCCTCCTATGTGATATACTGGCTCTGAAAACCTGCTGGAGGGACAGCTATGAGTCAGTTCCAAGTCAACAGTACATAACAAGTTAATTGGGAATCATTTGAATAACAGCTCAGTGTCAGGAATATGTGCCTTTAATTATATGAAATTCAACTTCATACTCAACTCAGTATCTTTCAAGTTAACGCTATCATCCATCTGGCACTTATCCTACTGTCATTGACGTTAGGAGCCACGGTGTCTATTCTGAATCTGAGTGACCCCATATGATGGAGTGGAACTGCCCCAGTGGGTTTCCTAGACGGCACTCTTCACAGAAGTAGATCACCTGTCTTTTCTCCCATGGAGCCACCAATCTCCCCATTATCACCAAGTGCGTAAGTATCATCATGGCTCCTCCTTATTTTCATACTTTCTGATTTAATGAGTTACATTTCAAACTGAAACAAATCCTTTCCTACCAACATATTTAAAAAAAAAAAACCAGAGGAAGATATTTTTCAAGTCATTGCTCATTATGTAAAGTCCAGTCTACTCAGAGTAGCCCTGCAGGCCAGAGAATGTGTGGCTCTTAAGGCTGTAAATCTTCAAGATTGCTATAATGTTCTCCCTCAGGATAGCTGCGGATTCAAATCAGTGTACTTTTGGGTAACAGACCACATATAATAACACCAGGTCAGAATATCAGTGAAGGTAAAGAATATTAAGCCAATGTAACATATATGCCCCTATGTCCCTACATCCCAATTTTCATTTGTTTAAAAAAAATATTTATCGGGGAGCTCTGGTGGCCTAGTGGCAAGGAGCTGCAACTACAATCCCAGAGACGCACAGATCGAATCCACCAGATGCTCTGCCAGGGAAGGAGGGACAATCTCCTCCTGTACCAGTCAGATCTGATTTGACGGTACACACACACAAAAATTAAAAAAACAAACAAACAAACAAAAGAATTTATCTTTTTATACAATAATATATAAAGATACTAGTCTAGAGTTTAATGCGTGCCTGATCCAGGCTGTGGTCTTCAAATTACTTGATATGCATCAGAGAGCCAAAAATTAACTAAAGCTGACAGAAGAAGAATCGATGCCTTTGAGGTGTGGAGCTGGAGAAGAGTAGTGAACATTACATGGACTGCCAAGAGAACAAACAGGTTTGTCCTGGAGACGGTAAAGCTAAGTTGCTCTTTGGAAGCAAAGATTTTGAAGCTCTGTCTCACATACTTTGGACATGCTGCCCAGAGGGACTAGTCCTTGGAATGGACATCACACACGGAAGGGTGGAGGAATGGCACAGGAGAGGAAAATCCTGGATGAGAAGAATTGACACAGTGACTGGGACAGTGGGAGTAGGTGTGTCAGAGACAGTGAAATTGGCTCAGGATAGAGCAGAGGGTAGAGCTACTATGCAGAAGGTTGCTATGAGTCGCAGGCAACTCACTTTTGTGATTTAATTATCATTTGTATTAGGTATTAATAGTATGGGGGTAGGAACAAAAGCACAAATATTCTAGAAATTAAAACTTTAGTTATCCTAATAAAAAATACTTATGACTACTTCATAGTTTAAAACAATTTGCTTTTTTAAATAATATGAGTAAGGGCCTTGATAATACACTACAGAAATAGTTAAAGAATTCAAATTTTTGGATTAAGAATTTATCCATGTAATTTAAATTTCAAATTTTTCTTTCCCCATATTTCACAGGCAAAATTAACGTCAACTGTTATGAGATTCCTCTGTACTATGTAAAAGCTGCTGAACAAACTTTGATATATGCCATAAGTTGACATTCCATGAATGGGCCTAACTATTGTGCAATATTCATTTTCTGTTCAAAGATTTTACAAGATGGTGACAGCGAAATAAAATATTTAATAACAGGAAGCTCAGGAAAATAGTGCTTATATGATAAATGCTCTGCACTTAGAACAGTCTAGAAGTTATAAAATTCAGTTAATATTTCATTACACTGAAACACTTAACATTCTGCACTGAGTGGAAAATGTCAAGCATGGCCCACATGATCCTCTAACTCTAAGAATGGACCAAATTGGCAAAGATAGTGTCATCAGACTGAAAGGAGCTTCTCTAAATCATAACAATTACAGCATTTTCCCTTGCCTGAGAATGGCAGAGTCCCTTTAATAAATTCTGACATGTATAATTAATAAGCATGTGAATCCTCGTGGCTTAATACCACCCAAGACCAATAGTTACTTTTTAATCAGGTAGGAACTACCTGTGACTAGTAGAGTGGGCACAGTCAATTCTTAGAATTATAAAATTAGTTTTGCAAGATAGTCAAGTATTACATGCATATTGCTTTGTACTGTCATGTCAGAACTGGCTCTTAACTGACCCTCCAGCAGCAGGTTTTCAGAGACAGTAAACTGCATGGGAGGAGACAACCCATCTTTCTCCCTTGTAACAGACTGTGGATTTGAACTGTGTGACTTTGTGTTGGCAATACAACTCCTTAACATTAGGCCACCAGATATATTTAAAAAAATTAAGAGTGAAAGCATATCTACCTCTCCATTACATGCTATCTACTAGACTGTAGAAATCTATCCTATATAAATAATGTTCCTCAAATTTGTGCCAAGACAAAAGCCTTGCTCTGCCAGCACCATT